CTTCCGCACATATCAGGTAAGTGCAATCGGTTTCATTAAAGCAGAACCAATTAGGCTTTTTCCAGAATGAGATTCTTCATCAGAATTTGAGCCATAGCTCTAATAGTATTATCTTGAAAACATTTTGGGTTTTGTTTAAGTTTTGATTTCCTAGTTGTGTTTGGTTGTAATGGGGCGCGCGGTTCTAACAAAGAAGAAAATTTACGCAAAATAATATGTCAATCAATCGGTAATTTAAGAAAGATAAATAGTTAACAAAAAATTTAAAAATGAAAAAAAAATTGGAGTTTAATTCAAAAAGGAAAATTTGACTTTTTTTAAAGGAAATTAAACAAATTTAAAGAGTAAAAAAGAAAAAAAATGCAAAATTTAAGAGATAATTTTAGAAAATAAAAATTTTAGGGGGGGGGGGCATTATATGAATTTTTTCACATATAAGTGTAAAAATATATATATTTAGTATATATATTACAGTAAGCGGAGCCTGGCACATGCCCTCGAGCATACATTGGCTTCGCCCCTGGTCGCAATGTCTGTTTACTGGTGTAAAAGATTTAAGTCAAATGTCCTTGTTGTAGTGTTCATATTCTTTTATGTGTTTGAGATAAGAAAATAAAAAAATAGATGAAAATTCATTTAATTGACAATTTTAAAAAATGATTATGTTAAAATTAAGTAAAAAAGTCATTTTTATATAAAATCTGTTTTGATAGTGTAGCATTTAGCTCATGACACTTGTGATTTCAACATTTGATGCCTCAATTTTGTAAATATGTAACAACCATTTTGATATTATTTCGACATATATTAATAGCCCCGTTTCCGTATTATAGTATTAAGGAGATGTGCAATTAATAGATTGTTGTATTTTAAAATCATCAAGTTAAGAAATTTTGAGATGTTGAGGTTGGGACTAGCTCCTAAATTCATATTTTGAAATTGAAATTAAAAAAAAAAAAAAAATTTAAGACGTTGGACTAAATTTTTTCGAATTTCAATTATAAAACTACAATATAAAAATAAAATAAAAGAAAGACTATTAAGATGAAATGGAGGAAGTACTAACATGACATTAAATATTTAACTCTTTTTTTTTCTTTGATATTCAATTTAGGTTGGCTCTTTAGTACAACTTGTGCAACATGAATTATGAAAGAATTTAGGTGGACATGAGCTATCTTGATCATGAATTTTTATACGAACATTTTTTTTTTTTTTTTGGTACAAGTCACGTTTAAAACACATTCAGTCGGCAATAGTTTTATGACACTGTGTTTAAAGAAAATTTTCATTCCCATAAATTTTGCATGCTGCTATAAAAATAAAATATTCAATGCCAACCGAAAGAATAAAAAAAATTAAAATTTTGAGTCTCACGAATTTAGCGTGACACTGACCCATCACCATTGTGTTGGTTGCTGCAGCTTTAATTATGTTAGAAAAATCATGTAAAATGTGATGCATATTAGAATTCATTGTGATATCTTTATTTTTTATTTTTCAGATGTGCAAAGGGTTTAATTTGTAGCATTTGTTTTCATTTCACTAATAAATCAATATCTTACTTCCAAAGGCATATCAGGGTTGGTAGGGATACAGAAAGTAAGTCATTGAAATTTCGTTTTGGTACGGCATTTCTAACTTGAATGGTTCATGAATTGTGGAGTCAATACACATGCTCTTAAAAAAAAAAAAATATCCTACTAGGTTATCAAAATTCTAGCATTCGGGTCTTTTTAATTAGTTGACTTTTGACATACTTTTTATTTTAAATTATATTTTTTTGGTAATTTTCATCATGCCTCATTTAAGTTACACAATTCTTTTTTCAACAGGTGTCGCACTCACTTTCTGAGCACACTCCCACTTTCATGTTTCGTTCAAATTCTCAATATTTATGATTTAATTCTACCGCTCTCACACTTTTGCTTTCGAATTCGCTTACCTCTTATTACTTTTATTTTTTTATTTTTTTATGTTATAATATTTTATTACCGCATGAATTAATGTATATAAATTTTTTCAAAAATAAAACTGCAAAAATGTGTGTGTGTGTGTTTTTTTTTTTTTTTTCTCTCTCCATCAACATTACTAAACTTAACAATCAAACAGAAAAATAATGCACTCTTTTGCAAATAATTATAAATCCATTAACATTCACTTTCTAGAGTTGGATGCATTTGGATTTGTTTTTCTTGTTTGTTTGTTTAATTACTAAAGGTGTGTAAGGATAGTATTAGTTATGAGAGAAAAGAAAAAAAAAGAAAGAATAGCAATAATTTCTATTTATGTTTGGATAGATAGAAAAGAAAGTATAGTATCATTGTTTAGATATGATAGAGGGTAGAAAAGAAGAGAAAGGACAACAACTAAATTACTATAATGTCTATTAAAATAGATGAGATATGAGTGGAATAATAATTTCTTCCTTTTAATTATTAAGGGTAGTTTTAAAATTATGAAAATACTACTTAAACACTATCATTTATTTCCCTATCTTCTCATTTTTAGAGAGATTGAAAATGAAAGATAAGGAGTGATAGCTATCTCTCCCTATCCTTTTTTTAACCTACCCCAACACAATTTACAATATCCTTTCTTTTCTTTTCTCTCAGTATCCATCCAAATCTCTCAATCCAAACATACCCATAAGACTCTCAAGAGAGTTATATTCACGAGTGATTTTCATTAATCATTGAACTTATTTTTTTAAAATAAAAAATAAAAAATAAAAAATTGAAAAAAATATTGAGTCAAACGTTTAAAAAAAAAAAAAAAAAAAAATACAAAGATGATATAACGAATATAAACTTTTTATTGCATTTTAAAAAAATAAATAAAAGCATGAAACTTTGTACCAACACCATTTACAAATTTTATACCTTATATTGTTAAATTGAAAAAGGAAGGAATTACTAAAGAAAACTTACAACTTTTGTGGGGGCAAATGAGCTCATATATCTATTTATAGGCAGTTGGCTTTATAACAAAGTCGAAATTTATACAAGTGTTGGGAGAGAATATTAGAATGAGATCTAGAATATTTATATAAGGTCACCATAGAATTTGAGAGTATTTTAGACTATGCTTCACAAGCTTATACAATTAGTTTAGGTGTGGGTATTGTAAAACTAAAAATAAATAATTGTAAGTTTTAACAAAAATATAGACTTGCTTAGTTTGTAATTACGGAAATAATTTTTTGTTATCGAAAAACTAAAAACAAAAAATTGTACAAAAACAAATAAAAAATCCTGTTTTGTTCAAATTTCTAAAACTCAATTATAAAAAATATATATTTTAAGAGAACAATCTTTTATAGTTATTTAAAAACTAATCCCTTATTTTTTAGAATTATTTTTAAAGTCATAAACCAAGCGTTTAGCCATTTTTTACATATTGCCTTTGGATATTGCATGCACTTAGTGCATACAAATGACTATTACCCCGTAAAAATTAAAGAATAATTACACTTACCTTGCCTAAATAATAGGAATCTTTCTAATGGTATCGATGTAACAATGAGTGTTGACTTTGACCATAAAGATGTTAAATGACCATTATATTTCATGCACTTTTATAAATTTTTTAAAATAAAATATTTATTTTTTTATGAACAAAATACGGACGGAGTAGCCTTTTACGCTTTTTAAGGGCTTTCTCAAATTTAAATAAAGGACAATATTTGGCTCCTTCCCTCAAAAGACCTGGTTAATGTGACCCAATATAATTTAAACACATAATTAAAATTTTTAAATTTTTAAAAATAATCATTACCCATTTTCTTACCGATTAAACCGAATCCCAAAGTTTTTTTTCTTTCCAAAATAATGACGATTGTTTCTATGCCAAGCCTCCATTTGAAACAGAGTTAGCTTTTCTCGTAATTATATTTTTGGTCACCGTTAAATGTATCTTTTGGATCTCTCCCGATTTCTAAAAACCTTCAATTGATAATTGATAGGTGTAACAGTTGATTTTTTTTTTTTTTTTTTTTTTTTTTTTTTTTTTTTTTTTCATTGGTGGAAAATATGAAGAAAAAAAAAAAATAAAAGTTGTGAATACTACAAATTCCGATTGGTGCAGTTTTATGTCACTTAGGAGTTTCTGTTGGTTTGTATATTTTTTACCTATTGAATAAAAAGTTGAGTATTTAATTGATGGAGGTAGAGGTTGGGTATGAAGATTTGTGGGAGAGAGAGAGAGGGGGGTAAGGGAGAGAGAGATTCTTGCTAAAAGAGGGATTCGAAAATTTTTAGAAAAGTAAATTAAAAAATTGGGTTTGGATTTAATCCATAAGAAGTTGGATAATGACTATTATTAAAAAAATTTAAAATTTTGGAGGATAAAATTTATCTTTTTATGGAACGATCCAAATATTGTCTTTAAATAAATACTAAACATGACATATGTAGACAAGAGTGTAGGACTTATTTAGACCTAAATCAGAGGAGAGGTCGGTGTTTTATTTAGGCAATTTACACTGCAGGTAAGTGTAATTGTCCCATAAAAGAATTACACACATTGGCAATGAAAAAAATAAAAAATAAAAAACAATTACATAAACGTATAAAAAAAAATGCATGATTTCTCGCCACATAAATTTGTTATCCATATCTTGAAACATTTAAACAAACCCATGCACTTGAATTTTTTTTTTTTTTTTTAAAGTACGTAGAGTGATTTTTTTTTTTTTTTGTGGCCAAACAATATATAAAAGGAAAAGGTCCATAATACCCCAAAAAAGAAAAAATGAAAAAAAAAAAAATGAAAGTGGAAGGCTATCAATATATGGAAGCTAAAAGCAATCCAACGGTTGAGGGACACCCATCCGCGGAAACCCGGAGACGCTCACGCCCAAGACTTTGGAATCTAACCCAACCACACTCCCACTCAACCACCACCACTATCCCATAACCACACTTACTTAACCCTAGTTAACTCCACTTTTAATCCCTCCCTCTCTCTACAATTTATATATATATGGATATATATATATATAGATATAGACCTCCTCATAACTCCATTCTAGAGCCTATTGTTTCTCTCCTCTTTTTCTTGCAGCCAAAGCCATCTCCATTCTCATTTTCTATTTTCATTCAAAATCTGATGTTCATCTTCTGCTGATATATATATATATATATAGATATATAGAGAGAAAAAGATGAGTTGCAATGGATGTCGAGTTCTTCGGAAGGGATGCAGCGAGACCTGTATTCTCCGTCCGTGTTTGCAGTGGATTGAGACTCCCGAAGCTCAAGGTCACGCCACCGTCTTCGTCGCCAAGTTCTTCGGCCGCGCCGGCCTCATGTCCTTCATTTCCGCCGTGCCTGAACACCGACGGCCTGGTAATTCTCTTTCTCTCTCAAACAATTTCGATTTGGATTTTCGTTTTTGTGTGATCTGATTGTGTTTTTGTGTGTTACAGCTCTGTTTCAGTCGCTTCTGTTTGAAGCGTGCGGCCGGACGGTGAATCCGGTGAACGGCGCCGTCGGACTCCTCTGGACCGGCAACTGGCACGTGTGCCAGGCGGCGGTGGAGACCGTCCTCCGCGGTGGTGTTCTGCGGCCGATTCCAGAGCTCCTCGGCGGCGGCGGCGGAGGTGGAGGTTCGTTTCCGTCCGAATCCGGCGACAACGCGTATTCCGACGCGTTTAAGCTTCAAGATCTGACTCCGACCTCGCGATCGAAGGCGCCGAAACGGAGACGCTCCGACGACGTCTCGAATTTGCAGTTCTCCGATCTCGATCTCAGTCTGACGGCTGGTTTTCCGGCCAAACTGTTGACGGAGAAGACTCGACCGGGGACGCCGTCGATGAATTCGGAAGAATCTGTGACGACAACGGCGTGTTTGGATAGTGGTTTAGCAGATCAAGGTGGAGAACCAAAGCTTCTGAGCTTCTTCTAGTTTCTTTTTTGGTGTAGTTTCGTTAATTAGTTTCCCCGGAATATTGAAATCCGGTGAGTTCTTGTATTTCACGGGCACAAGATTTTCCTGTTTACCAAACAGGGGAAAATGAAAGTTTGCCGGTGAGACCCTCGTTTTTGTGTCTTGTAATGGTTAATGTGTATGGGAAGTGAATAAATCTTTTATTCCTTTTATTTATTTTTTTAATCCAATAAAAGAAAAGAAAAGATAAGAAAATGGAAATCATAGGAATGTTGAGGCTTAACAATTCCCTAACCTAAACATTACCCAATTGTTAGACATTTTGGACCAAGTCACCTACCTCCAATTGAATAATTTTTGTTTTTGGTCAATTTCATTTATAATTACAAGTGGTTCATACCACAATGTAGTCCATTGCAAACTTTTGACATTATCTACTATTTGTTTAGATAATTTATGTGTGTTTGGAAACATGAGTGGGGGTATCATCAGTATGCATATTATAAATTGGAGACAAAATCAAATCAATATTTCAGAGTAAGTCCAACTAAACTCATTTACATTTCAAAGAAGTTGGTTAGCTTAGAGTTGTTTCGGAACTCTATCGGGTCTAAAGCTCGAATTCTCTTGTAAATAAGATGGATTCTCTCAATTGCAAACAATCAGGGCTTATTTATATCAACTAAAAAAGAAAACACTTACCTATGGATAGATTTATTTTTCAACCTTGTTCTGCATTAAATTTGATGACTTTTTCGAAGGAGTTACAATGCTCTCCTTTTTTAACAAATGACTTTTTTTATAAAAAAAATTATTTATTTTAAACATCATTTAATCTTCACATAATCAACGCTAACAAAGTCAATTAATAAACTAAATTGTGGTTTAATTGATTGTAATTATGTACTAATATAATAATGTTTGACTGAGTTGACTCGGTTGAGGAACCTATTAGGAGTACAATTGATGCAGGCATTCAATGAACCTCAAACAACTAGCCAATGGGAGGGCTTTGTTTTCTAGAGTCAAACTTTGACCTCCGCACACATTGTGACAACTAATCGACGAAGCAGTACGTGGCAAACAGGGTACGCAAGTACCAGAGAGAGCGTGTGTATCACGCAACTAGCAGACGAGTGGGATTAGTCCACCACATGGATAAAACATGCAGCGTAAGATTTCCCTAAATTTTCTCTCAATAGTTATCCACACCACAACCTAAATAAATAAAATATTACTATTTTTAATGTTTTTGGAACAGTTGTGTTTCTTCCTCGAATTAATGCACTTGTTTTCCTTTTATTTGAACCTTTCGGCGGAGGAGAGAGAAATGTTTATATATGTGTGTGTGTGTGTGTGTGTGTGTGTGTGTGTGTGTGTAGAGAGAGAAAGAGAGAGGCGGCTTTTGGAGGTGGAGACTAGTGATGGAGAAGGAATCAATGGGGGAGATTTTGTAATAAATATAAAATGTAGTGGGTCCTACGGAGTTTGCAGTTTCTACGTCTCTTTCAGCCAATTGCAGCTAAGGGTACGGGTTCATGTCAGCGTCGGTTTTGGCTGTCTTTGAATTAATTATACTATATTCAGTCCTTGCACTTGCTCCTCTCTAGTCCTTCCTATCCTTGTGGGGCGTGGTGGGCTCCGCATCATATATCTACCTATATACGTGTATGGTGTCCACACATCTCTAGGTATACGTGTGTGCGTGTGTATGTATAGGTATGTATGATGGACTATGTATGTATGATGGACTATGTATGTATGGGACTTGGATTTAAGTTAAATATTCTTATCCTAAGTTGAATTCGGTATAGAATGAAAAATTGAAAACTGCATCGTTTTGAGATAAAAAAATTTAAAGTTTAAAAAGTGCACCATTTTCAATTAAGAAAAATTCACCATGCTCAAACGACTTTAGCGTCCTTATCTCTTACTCATCTTTTCAAAAAAACTATCCTCCCTCTCTCTCCTCTTTATTTTTGTTTTAAACAAATCATCTTTTAACCCGACGGACGTTGTCTCTCAACTTTTCTATATATATAGGGATTTTGGTTGTATTTTTTTAACTCCATCAATATTTATGCTTATATATATATATTCTTTTCTAACTAGTAGATTGTCAATAAAAGTCACATGTTTTGCAATCATATTTTCGTCCATCTTAATTCCATGGCAAATAACATTCATTTTTGGCACGAAATATTCCTCTAATAGTGGGAATGAGCCATAGGAGAGAGAGAGGATCTTTTTTTTTAGAAAAGATGAGAGAGAGATAATAACGTTAAATGTTATTAGAGTATGGTAACTTTTTCTTAATTTAAAATATTGTAATTTTTAAACTTTGATAAATTTTCTTTATCTCAAAACGGTGCAGTTTTCAAATTTTCTTTAAATTAGTTGACGTAGTTTAACACCAGCAGATATATTTTAAATGTCACCGTGTAAATCTGTATCTAATTCAACTTAAAGATAAGAATATTTAATTTATATGATCTAAGTCCATATGGTAGACGTGTTAGTTCGAATCCCAATCTCAAACTCATTGAATGTTGATAGACTATTCGAGCCACTCATGTGGTGAGAGAAAGGTGACTCCAAATTGAATCAAAATTTGGATGAAATTCGTTTGGTTGTAAGTTTTAATGGATTGTAATCTAATAAAGCGAAATATTTTTATTTTTATTTATTTTAAATTTTAAATTAAAAGATCCAAAAAGTAGACAAATGAATGAGTGTGATTTGTCAAGTTTAAGAAATAAAAAGCAAAAGATAATAAATAATAAAAATATTAAATTAAAATGCAACAATACTAAGATTCTGTTTATTTGGATGTAAAATATTAAAATTTTTTTTTTTTGGTATTTCGTTATCGTAAAATATTTACGAAGAAAAAAATTATTAAAATCTAATAAAAATAATTTACACATCAATTTTTGACTATTTATTTTACACGCCCTCCACTTAAAGGACTCGACCTAAATCTTTGCCAAAGGATAAAAAATAAAAAATAAAAACATATAATTTGACTTTTTTTTTTTTCGTCAAAACAAACGAAGCTAAATAAAAATTAAAATATGTTACAATTTGATTTAATATGTTGCACAAGTGTTAGAATGTTGATTCTTCATTAATTATATTGTTGATATAGTGCGCTGAATTATCAATTTAAATTGTATTGATAATACTGTATTTCAATGTGTACGCCTACACGTATGTGTAGAAGTATATATGTTGTATGTATATATATATATGTGTGTGTGTGTGTGATGAGTAAACGAATGAGATAAAGAGGAGAGAGAAAGAGAGGGGGTTACTGCAATGCTGCGTCTCGCCGCATTTTCAATGGCCCACGGAACCTTCTGCCCTACCTTTTGGCACCACTAACACCTCATCTTCCACCCACTTGTTGCTGGTGGTTCCCACAGGTAGCATCAACAATTCTCTATGCTTCTCCATTTAAATTGTGAGAATTTTGGATATTCCATGGTTGAATATCACACGTGTCACCATTTCCCTGAAGTTTCAAGAACAAGTTCATGTGATCATGGATCATGTAGGCATGTTCCCCTAGCATGCTATGACCAACTTGTTTTCTATAATCCAAATATATATATATATATATATTCCCCGTCTAATGAGAAAGAATTTTACTTTTTATTTTTTGAGAGTACTGAGTTTGAATTGTTTTATAACTATTTTTATAAAATTTTCGGGATAATTACTTGGTGTATGTAAAACAGAAAAACAAGAAGTGATTGGGAGTTTGAATTTTTTTTAAGTCATTCTCCTAAAATGATCACAATAATTATTCGGTACTTGTGGAACAGAAAAACATATTCAATGGTGACACTTTAAGCGAATCATTGCAATAAGTACATGTGTTTGAAGTATATAACTAATCGATGGTAAGGACTTTACTTAGCTAGATTATGGTGGTCTCGTAATTAAAAAAATGCTATTAGTCCCTAATTCCCTATACCATATGGTACACATTGTCCATGCTTGAACCATATATGGTTCTATATATATATATATAAAATGCTTCGAGATGGAAATTTCTTGTGTCTATTACTAGTTCTTCCTCCCGAGACCGATCATTCAGATAGATGGGGGTAAACTAATGGGCTCGGATATTAATGAACTCTACCGAAGAGTTATCTATCGGAACAATACTCTTACCGATCTATTAACAACCAGTAGATCTACGTCAGGAGAATTAGTAATGTGTCAGGAGAAATTGGTACAAGAAGCCGTGTCTCTTTATTCCTCCGTTCATACGTATTTCATACATTCCATTAAATATATGGGGTTGGGTAAAATTTCATGTGATTCAGTAAACAGAATAGAAATTCCATCATTGCTAGATCATCTATATGATTCGATGAAGAATGAGTCAATAATGAATGGGATTTTTCGATAAATGGGAAATAAAAAATGATTCGGGATGGAAATGAGGGAATGTCAACAATACATGTACAGAGAGGCTCTATTCATTTTCACTTATTGCATGCATGTGTTAATTGGAGTAACCTAAAAATAAAAGTAATAATAATAATAAAAAAGTTTTGTTTTAAAAAATTTAGGCCATGTTCGGTACAGTGGAAAAGAAATGATAATATTAGTTAAGAGGGAAAATAAAAGAAAGGAAATGAAAGGAAAAGAGAGGGTAGTTTTAATTGTTTGTTGTGTTTAGTTGATTAATAAAAAAAAAAAAAAGAAAATGATAGTAATTATGTTTTGAGAAATAAATGAAAAGAAACTATTATAATGAATTTACATTCATACCCTTTTTCATAGAGTCTTTATTTTCAAAAAAATAAGAACAAATTTGGTATTAATAAAGTTTCATTAAAAATATGTATTTCGTTCTTTTTCCTTCTATTTTTGGGAGAAAAAACAAAAGGTACTATTCATATCTTATTCTATTCCTCTAAATCTTTCATTTTTTCTTTCTTTTTCGTTCAACATTTCCCCCCAAACATACTTTTTTAATTCCTTCTTACAATTCTTTCCTTTTCCTTTCATTTCTATTCTACCAAACTAGCCCTTAAGAATGGTTTAGAAAAGACGTAACCTACTTTTGACACTTAATTTTGGAACATCCGAAAAAAAAAAAAAAGGAAAAAATAATACTATTTTATTGTGGGACAAAGGAGTTTGGAGTTGTTAGCTATGGTTTATTTTTTTAACTAATAATAGTAGTCATCAATTGAGAG